AATTCAATGCGATTTCTATCAAAATCTCAGCAAGCTTTTTTGCAGCCAAAGCCCAAATGTACAAGAACCTGTAACCAGGAGTTCACCCTACCCAAAAAGGAGAGAGAGCTCTTCTCCAAAAATAGTAAATAGGCCTAGAGAAATGGATTCTAAGGAAAAAAAAGAAAAACAAAAATGACAAAAAGAGATCTTTTAAAATTAAAAACATGATTGCCAAATAATTTTAATAAAAGGATTAAAAACAAACTCATTCCTGACTGGGGTGGTGGTGGTAGTCACATGAACCTACACATGTGTTAAAATTCACAGAACTATACATTTTTTAAAAGTCCATTTTAATGTGTGATATTTTCAAATAACTTTAAAAAATTTTTTAACCTCAAATAAAATTTAAAAGCAAGAACAAAACCAAAGAAATGTACCGAGAGTAGAATAAAAAGACAAAAAGATTAACAAAAGTTAAGAGATGAAAAAAATTAAGGGACAATATAGGAGGGCACTATCAAACTAGTAAGTGTTCCAAACAGAAGAAATACAAAAAAAAAAAAAAGAAAAAATAATCAAAGAAGCAATCCAGGATAAAGTCTGATAGCTCAAAAACCTATTTCTCTAGATAAAAAAGTCCACTAAGTGCCCCGTGCAGTGATTTACTAAAGATTAATATCTAGACATATCCTAATAAAATTTCAAAACACAAAAATAAAGATTCTTCCAGAGAGAAAAAAGAAAACACAACAGATCACTTAAAAGGATCCATTTTAACAACCAGGGAACTGGCCAGTTAGCTCAGTTGGTCAGTGTGCTGTTATGTAATGCCAAGGTCAGGGTTCAGGTCCACACACACCAGAAGCCAAAAAAAAAAAAGAATAACAACCAGGCATCAGACTCCTTATTGGCAACACTAATCACATTATGACTTCTACGGATAATGATTACCTACCTGGGATTCTATAGCAACTAAACTAACAAATGTAAGGACTGAATAAAGAACTTTTAAGATATGCAAGGACTCAGAAATTTGTATCCCATAAACTTTCTTAGAAAATTGGCAAAAGAAATATTTGCAAAATATACGTGGCTCACTTGAGAGAGTGTGGTGCTGATAACACCAAGCCAAGGGTTCGGATCCTATATAGGGATGGCCGGTTGCTCACTGGCTGAGCATGGTGCTGATAACACCAAGTCAAGGGTTAAGATCCCCTTACCGGTCATCTTTTAAAAAAAAAAAAAAAATACACACACACACACACACACACACACACATCTGACAAAGGATTAACATCCAGAATATACAAGGAACTCAAACAACTTTACAACAAAAAAACAAGTAACCCAATTAAAAAATGGCCAAAGAAGCTGAATAGGCATTTCTCAAAGGAAGATATACAAATGGCCAGCAGACACATGAAAAAATGCTCAATATCACTCAGCATTCGGGAAATGCAAATCAAAACCACACTGAGATACCATCTCACTCCAGCTAGGATGGCTAATATCCAAAAGACTGAGAATGATAAATGCTGGCAAGGTTGTGGAGAAAAAGGAACCCTCATACACTGTTGGTGGGACTGCAAAATGGCATAGCCTTTATGGAAAATGGTATGGAGGGTCCTCAAACAATTACAGATAGATCTACCATATGACCCAGCTATTCCACTGCTGGGTATATACCCAGAGGAATAGAAATCATCATGTCAATGGGATACCTGTACTCCCATGTTTACTGCAACACTATTTACAATAGCCAAGAGTGGGAACCAGCCCAAATGTCCATCACCAGATTAGTGGATAAGGAAACTGTGGTATATCTACACAATGGAATTCTACTCTGCTATAAGAAGAATGAAATACTGCCATTCACAGCAACATGGATGGACTTAGAGAAAATTACATTAAGTGAAGTAAGCCAGGCACAGAAAGAGAAATACCCACATGTTCTCACTTATTTGTGGGAGCTAAAAATAAATAAATAAATAAATAAACATACATACAAACAAATGGGGTGGAGGTGAAGACACAATTCCTGAACTTGTTAAGACAAGTGAACAGATATGATGTTATATGACATTGATGGGGGGGAAGAGGAACTGGTAAAGGGACATGAAAATCAACTACATTGCATATTGATAAAAGAAAATTTTAAAAAAAATTTTTTTTAAATAAAAAAGAATGAAACATCTTACCTGAAGCACCTAGAAGAGTGCTTAGCAGAATAAATGCTCAAGCTCAATAAATGAGAATATTAAATATATCTACATACTTAAAATGATTAAAATGAATAACACTGATTATGAATATTTTAGATCCATGTGTAAATTGGTTTTAAATTTACAAGTCAGAATTCTTATTACAAAGTATATGTTGACTCATTATTTATGAATGTAACTTTATTTGTATATGGACATGAATACAAAGAGACAGATCTGGAAAGATACACATGGCATGGCTGAGAAGACCTTCTGTGGAGAACTAGATTAGAGATGGCCCAGCACCTTTAG